TATATAACCGGCTTGCTAAGCAAAGCCTCCCTCTCCTTTAACGCTTCCTCTGACGTACTAGCTTCCCCATTCCAAATTTCTTGCAATGCCAATAAACAATTTGCAACAACCTAACAACAAACCCCCAAAAAATCAACACAACACAACTCGGCAATCACATTAAACCTGATCGCTTCTAGTTTATCAAAACGAAAACAACAATTTCACCTGAGCATCTTTATCAGTGAGCAACAAATGCTTCAGAACCGCGGGAAAATCAGCATCAATGCAAGTAGTCACGGAAATATGATACAATTTAAGAACACCAATAACCGCGACAATTCTAACATAACTATTGCTATCTTTCAACCCAGCATTCAACGGTCCAACTAAATACTCAACTAAATTCGCAACGTTAAGAGAACTCAAGCTCCGTAATGCAAGTCCTCTAATCATTGGATCTTCATCTTTACAGTCTCTTTGCAAGAAATTAATCGTTAATAAAGCTAAATCAGGATTAACTTTCGCGTAATTACCAACATATAAATAACACATCTTTTTCAACACTATATCTGATGTTGCTGAGCACATAACCATTTCACCGAATACAGACGACACGTCGATTCCGATGGTCATGTATGATATTACTTTTTTGAATAGTTCGCGTTTCGAATCGTCGACGCCGGGGAGTCGGCTTCCGGCGAGTTGTCGGAGTTGCGATTTTAAATCGGTGACTTCGCTTTTTCTGTATCGAAAAAAAATGAATTGTTAAGTGTGGTGGCGATTTTGTAATTTTAAGAGATGAGTTTTTACACTTACCCGGACGGTTGTGATGGCGACGGAGATCGGTTAGTTTGGGCCGGAGGAGCCATGCCGAAGTTCTGTGAGGTGCGGTTTGTACAGTGAGATCGAGCAGGGAAGGAGAGATCTGACGAAGAGAAAAACACAGGGAGACACCGAGACAGTGAGATGAATTAATTAGAGGAATTCGTGTCCGGGCTGAGGTGGCTGTGGCTTATTGGTCTGTTGTCTGGATATTTACAGAGAACTTTCGGTTGATTGGTGATGAGCTGCTAAAACGATGACGTACAGCTTAATTTCCTTTTGATAATAATTATTTTTTAGAATTTATTTTTATATTACTGAATCTAAATAATATGAACATATTAAAAAAATTAGTTTAAAATAAAAAATAATAACTTTTAAAAAATACTTTAAAATACAGAAATAAAAAATCTATTAGAGTATAAACAGTCAGCTTTACCTCAAAGATCTTGATTTTAAGTTCTGATAATATTTTGTGATATTTATTGGAGAGGTGTAAAATAATTTGTTGTAAAATATAAGATTAATGATTTGTTTTAGATTTGTTTGAATAAAATTTAGTGCTCTATTTTATCTTTTTTTTTCCTTGTAAATTTTATTTAAAACTTTTTTTTTTTTGAGAATTCATGTCCAATCTTTTTAAAAAAATCACAAGTAGTTTTCTCCAACAATTAAAATGAAGGCCAAACCGATAGCTGGCTTGTTCTCTTCTTTCTCTTTATATATATATAGTTTTTTTTTTTTTCCTAACGCTATGGAATGCATTAATTGAAATGGAAAATGGGGATAAGTGGGCCAGAAAGAGTGGTTTGTTAAGGGGAGAAATATATGAAATTCATAAAAAACAAAAATACATTTTATTTGTCTAAAATATATCAAATGATATATTCAGTAAAGAGGAAAAAATAAACAATTTAATTTATAATAAATATCTATATATTAGTTTCATATATTTTTTACAATTTAATTTACAAAAATATATTTTTTTATAAAGTAAAGAATATAATATGTATTTATTTATACAACTTTAATAAATATTTAATATTTAAAAGAATATCAACTATAAATATTTTATGAATAAAATTTTAATATAATAAAAAACTCATAATTATAATAACTTTAAAATTTTATTTTTAAAATATTTTTATTTCATGAACTTTATCTATACTCTACATTCATAAATCTGATATTATATAAATATTAAAGTCAAATTAAATTTTTATTAATAATAAATATATATTTATATAAATATAATAATATCATATATAACTAACAGATTAGTAATAGAGCATATTAAACTAAAAATATATATTTTATTATATTTTAAATGAAAAACAATCTTTAAAGCATCGTATCTGAATTTTTAAGTTTATATATATAGATTTTGATGAAAAATTTAGCTTGTATAATATATGCTTTCACCAGAACAAAGCCCAATGAATCCTTAAAACCTCTTGTCCACGTTTTTTATTTTTTTTATTCGACTTCCCTTTCTTCATTGCTCTTTTTCAACCCTTTTAAAAAAGCTAGATTTATATTATATCTGCCATCACTTTTGAATTTTTAATTAAATAATAAATATATTTGATTAGAAATAACTTCTGATTTAAATTAAAAGTTAATCGAGTATGAAAAATAATCTGGATAATTTTTTTTTATTTTTATATGTACGTAAAAAGAGAGAGGGAGTTTTTTTTTCCTGTAATGGGGGAAAAAACAAATTCCAGCTTGGCTGAACTATGTGCGCACCTTCTCTAATAACCCTCGACAAGCTGTTGCTTCCACCCTGATGCAACAGCACTTGAGGTATTATAAAATTATAAAATTATCAAAATTATCAAAAAAAAATAATATTAGGCTGTTTTTTTAATTTAAATTAATGTTTGTTTTTATATTCTCTTATAGTTTTGATGCTGGTACAAGAAATAAAAAATATTATTTTAATATATTTTTAATTAAAAAATTTACAATATAATATCAAACACAAATTTAAATACAAGGATATTTCCATTCTTAAACAAAATGAAAATATTCAGGTTGTTCTATACTTTATATGAGACCTTAGAGGTTATTGGATTATATCATTATTGAACAACGTCATGTGTTGATAATTGAAATTGACTATTTGTTTATATTTAACTAATTAATTATCCATTAGCTGTGAGACTCACATGAACTATATAAAACTAATTGTGCGTAAAAAAACAAAAACAAAAATAGATGTTAGAGCACAAAAAATGCTGGATTATAATGTAACTTTGTAATTAAAAAGGAGTTTTATTTTAAATGAATTATAACCTTCTTATTTTGCTGAAATTTTGATGAGATAAAAACATGAATTAACTTGTTTAAAAAACTTTAAGTTAAATTTTTTTAAAAAAATATTAAAATAATAACATATTAAATTGATATCGATCTCCCACAACTCGTGTTATAGATTTTCTTAAGTTTAATAATAATTTCTATTTAATTATATAATAAAAATAATTGGTTATAAAATTAAACATTAACCTAAAACACATACACTTATTTGAGATAATTATTTTTATAAAAAATAAATAAAAATCAATAATTTAATTTATTTTTCTACTAGTTCAATATTAAACGATGAAAAAAAAATTTATTGGTAGGTAAATTTATTAAATTTATGAATTAGGTAATCTGAACTAGTATATTAAACTTGTGAATTGAGTTATAGATTCTACTGATATTATAGTTTTTTTTAAAAAAACTTTTTTTATTTAACTATACGATAATAAGTATAAATAATTGCGAAATCAAATACAAACTCAATACCAAAATATTTTTTTTAGATTATGAAAAAAACAATTATAAAACTAAATTCTCAATTAATTCAGCATTTAGGATAAATATTTTAAAAAACTAATTAATAAAATTAAACTTACCATATCAGTGAAACAAGTCAATCATCCGAACATGTGAATAAGTCTACAAACTTTATAAAGTTTAATAACATAACCATCCTTTGAATTTTTTTTTTAACTCTACAAGAAAAAAATAAACAATAAAAAAACCAAGTTTAATTAAAAAATATATATATCAAACTCGTAAACCAAAACAAACTCACAAATCATGCTAACCTTATAGAATCACAAAATAAAAGGCAATAAATTATGATACTAAATTCTCAACCATTTTATTAAATCATTAAAAATAAATTTTTTTAAAAAACTAAAACAACATGGATTATTATTTTCATTTGTAATGCAATTTGTGTGGGTGAATAATAGTCTACTCACATCTTTTATTTTTTTATTTTTACTTTATAAAGTTTGATGACAATTTTTTTCTAAATTTTTTTTTTAACTATACCAGAAAAAATAAACTATAAAAAAAATAAAGCTCAATTAAAAAAAAAACAACTTATCAAACTCATAAATCAGACAATTTCAATTACCTTGACAAATCAGTAAACGATGCTAAGCTCATATAAATACAAGATAAAAATAAATAAATTATAAAATTTAATTTTTAATAATCCTGATTTTAAATAATAAAATTAATAATTAAGTCATTCATCCAAACCCGTGAATAAATTCCTAAACTTTATAAAATTTAATAATATAACATTTCTCTGAATATATATTTAGGTTTAACTCTATTAAAAAAAACAATGAAAAAAGTTAAATTCAATTAATAAAATTCACTAAACTCATAAACAAATACAAATTTATAAATCATGCTAATCTTATAAAAAGATAAAGTCATAAATATTTATTTTTTTTAAAAAAATTATTATGAAATGCTATTGGAATCTAAAGTGCAATAAGGTTAGGTGAATGATGATTTCATTATATTTTTAATTTTTGTTATTTTATATAATTTAATATTATGATTTTTTTAATTTTTTTAATTATATATAAAAATAAACTATAAATAAATTTTTTTTCACTAATCTATAAACTAGAGGATCTTGGGTTACAATGCAAATTATGTTAACTTCATAAAAAAATATAAAATTAAATATAATATTATTTTAATATTAAAATTAAAATAAATAAAAATAATTTTAAAATAAAGAATAACAAAAAAAGAAATAAGAGTTTTTCTAAGTGTTTTTTTATTAAAAAATATTTTTTATATTAAATCTATCCAGATGATGTAAAAATAAAATATTAAATTAAGAAAATATATATTAAAAAAAATACTTTAAAAAAAATAAAAAACAATACTCAGATTTATCTCTTTGTTGCCTCCTCCTCTCCCTCGTCAAGACCACACCACAGCAAGCATAGCTGTAGCAGATGCTTCCACCCGCATGCGAAGAAACACATAGAAATGGCTCTTTCTCAGCTACCAAAATTCACTCACTGCCCGCCTTCTCTTTACAACACCCATATCAACCTCCCTCTCCTCACCAAGCTCAAACTACCTACCCTTACAAGACTCAAATCCACACTAACCACAACAGAACCTATACCCATCACCGAAGCCCACAATTTCTTGACACCCCGAGAAGAAACCCAAACCCAATTTTCAATTGACAAACTATTTATCCCACCAGACACTGAGGTTTCAATCAACGAGAATAGTGGTCTAAGTGCTAGGATTTTGAAAGGGTCTAATATTGTGTTGAGCAAGTATGCAAGGGATGCACGGGTTGTTCAAGCTGAGTTTATTAAAAGTAGTGTCAAAACTGAAGATTGTCCTTCTGATGGCTTGCCCGAGTTTGCTCTTGTTGGAAGGTCTAATGTTGGAAAATCTTCTCTTCTTAATTCTCTTGTTAGAAGAAAGAAACTTGCACTTACCTCCAAAAAACCTGGTCAGTTCATAATAAACTTATATTTTTTTCTTTACTGATTCATGTCGATTTTGTGTTATGCGATAAATTTTGCAGAAAGAAATGATGGGATTTTTTTTTATTGTAGCATTTGTGTTGTGACTAGTGAAATGAATTGTATTGAATTTAGGGTACTCTAAAGGAGGAGACTTTGTTGCTTAGAACTCAATATTATTTGTGTTTTTGTTCTTGTTGAAGGGAAAACGCAGTGCATCAATCATTTTAAGGTCAATGATAGCTGGTACTTGGTGGACTTGCCTGGATATGGGTATGGTTTCAATGCTTTGGTTCGTTTTGATCATGTGCGAATTTTGTATAGGTGCAATATGGAATGGTGTTCTCGGGTTTAGAATCTATTTCCTGGAGAATAAACTAAGTTTAGTTGATAATGAAACTTGACTATCTGTTGGTTGATGCTTACAAGTACCTATTTCGCTTTCTCATGCCTTGCCGTTAATTTTACCACTCTGTTCTCTCTGTTTTTTTTTTTTGAATTTTAACTTTTGTTGTTGATTTATCTAGGTAGTCCAATTTATTGAATTTGCAATGTTTTCTCAAAATAATGTAAGTCTTCTATTCCATTAAGACAGAAAAGAGCTTTGAACGTGTATGAATTGCAGAGTGCAATGATGGATTCTGTCTTCAAGTCATTCTTGCTATTTCTGCTGGCAGTATTTAATGGTCTTGAATTTCTGTTGCGGCAAATGAACTCATTTTTTTTTTAAAATAATAAAGTTGTTACGGAAAGTAAATCTTTGTTTTTGATGCCTAAGCATCTATTTGTATTGCATTGAGCTCTTAATTTTTTCGAGTTTGTCCAGTTGTATTGGATTGTGAACTGCTTCTTCACGACTGTGTGGTGTTTCTATTCTATTGAGACAGTAAAGATGAATTTTCTTTGTGCATAGGATATATTTGTTTTATTGTGCTTACAATGCTCTACCTTGTATCCCTCATGCTTGCATACATCTTACTTGAAAACAATTTTGTGACAATCGTTGAGTTGATCTTAGGATTCGACAGCTGCCAAATCAAAGTTTGGTGTTTTCCTTTTTCTTATTATATTTATCATTTAGTTATTGCTTATGATGCTGATTTTTATCCAACCAAAACTTATAGGTCCATGTTCATCATTCATGTCAGAGAGTTTTAACTGTATTGCATCTGTTTCTGCTCTGAACAGGTATGCATCTGCACCTCAGGAACTTCGGACAGATTGGAATAAGTTTACTAAAGATTATTTTCTCAGTCGCTCAACCTTGGTCTCAGTTTTCCTTCTTATTGATGCTAGTATTCCTGCAAAGAAGATTGATCTTGAATATGCCAGCTGGCTGGGTCAGAATCAGGTAGACTCATCTTTCTTGCTAGAATGAGATAAAAGGAATGCATCAACTGATGACCTGCTGCGCCATTAGCTTTTGAGTGTGTTTTTTGCTGACGATGCATGTGCAATTACAGTTTATATCTTCTCCTTTCCCTAGCTGTTCTGGAGACTGTTGATTTTGGTTAGGGCGTTCCAGGCTTAAATTTGCACAACACTTGCCAGTGGCTTCAGTTGCATCTTCTTTTTCATGTATTGATATGAATGGACATTAGGGTTTCACCTCTGATTTAAATCTCCTCAGCTAACTTGCTAATAGTTACATGTAGATTAGAAACTCTCCCTATTAAAGATAGCACTTGCTATTATATGTAAGTCAAGGTTGGAGGGAAGGGGAGGATATCTATAAAGGTGATTTTCTTGTCTCTCAGGTTCCCATGACATTAATTTTCACCAAATGCGACAAGCGGAAGAAGAAAAGGAATGGTGGGAAAAGGCCAGAAGAAAATGTGAATGAATTTCAGGAGCTCATACGTGGCTTCTTTGAGACAGCACCTCCTTGGATTATGACCAGCGGTGTTACCAATCAAGGTCGTGATGAGATGCTGCTGCACATGGCTCAATTGCGGAACTACTGGCTCAAACACTGAGATAAAAAAATGTGGAATCAAATATGTTCGTTCCCACATTCCCTGGTGAGTATTCCTATATGAATAGAGCCATGTTTCCATTTACATCATGGACAGACCATTCTGGTAACATTGCCATTCCTAATCCTGGCAAGAATTGCAACTAAATTCCCAAATTTGTCGAGTGGATTACAAGATGATTATAATCATTAAGAAAGCTTTATACTTCCTGTTGAACTCCATGCATTTGATGCCCCATAGAAGATAGATGGGACGGAGACCTTAATTGACGTGAGGTGGCTGTTGTGTTTAACAGATTGCCGTCGTGCTCTAGCAAGTCCCAGAGTGCTAACTAATGCAAAAGAAGTGTAAACGAAAAACACATTGGAGGGTAGAGCTGGACAGGTTGAGCGGTTCACCATGCAGTATGGATTTGCTCCGGTGATGAGAAGGCAGTGCTGGAGTGGCTGTAAGTTTCGCTGGCTACAAAAATGGAGCGATGACTTGATTTCAGTGATTATAAAGTTTGAGTTTCACTCTCGCACTGGTTTAACCAATTAACTCCAGGATTTTTCTGTTAAAGTTGATTAAGTAGTAAATTCCGGGGATTAAATGTTTTGAAAAGCATGAGTACATGTAATTTACCTTAAGCTTATTTTGGCTTGTAGAATAAGCTGCGTAAACGTGATGTGTCTCTAGGCTTGTGGAGTGAACTTAGACCTGTTTGTTTGTGTTTAAAATTGATTTTTTTTATTTGCTTTAAATGAATATTTTTTTTTTGGTGTTTTTAAATCTGATGTTAAAAATAACTTTTTAACAATAAAAAAATATTCTTTTAATATATTTCTAAATAAAAAATATTATTTAAAAAAATCACAACTCTCAAATCGGCATCTGAATTTCTGACTGCTTGCATGCGTATTAACAAAACATTAACAAGGTCAAATCATGCTTGTAATATTTGAAACGAATATGAAAAAGACACCCTTCTCAAGTTCAATCCTCGTTAAAGCGATAGCAACAGGGCGTGAATGTTGCGGACGTTTAACCAATCAGGTGGTTTCACAACAGGTAGGTTTAGATTTCATCCAACGAAGATAATGCTTACCAGTAAATAGCCCTGAGCCATACATGGTCTAATGTTTACAACGAAAGTTGTGTCCATGGATAAATTGAAAATCATATGGGGCTAATCGAGAATCTCACTAGCACACCAGACGCTTCCTATGCCAGTGATGAATAAGATTGGGATCAGCAACATATGATCAAAAGCGGTGGGCAGGGCAGATGTATCCAGAAGAATTAGCGTGAAATTTTTGTTTTCCTTAACATGGTCTAACTATATTGAATCAAAATGATGCTTTGTAATTGAGCACAAAGCACACCGAGACTACAAAATCCTGCACTCAAGCCTCTCACAACATACACAATCAGGTTTGGAGCAAGTAAGCTCAGTCCTTAACATGGACTGCAGCTGGAATTGGCAAAGATTTTGTTAGTAAAAACCATTCAACCAATCCATGCTCTTTAAGCACCATAGATGCATTTCATTGCTGTCAAACTATCAAATATCATCCGAATGTAGACATAAAGGCGATGGGCAGACCTATAGAATACGTGAAAAGGTGATAACCATCCATAACCATACTAGAATGGTAAACTTTTTCAAGTCTCCATAGTTGAAAACATCTTTCAATGGCTAATAAGTAACAGCAATTAAACAACAATTCAAAACTTGTTTGCAAATTTAAAAGCATTGAAACAAAACAGACTTTCATTGCCCTTCTAAGCCTTACTATGCTGCTGCAGCTCCCTTGTTCCTTGGAGTAGCTTGAGTACCTAAATAAACCAAAGAATAACATATCAAAACTGAAACAACAACTCAGCAGGAGATTGCCCACAATCTCTGCCCCGATATTTCCCACAACAAAGAAGTGAATTGAATTTTACCTTCTCTAAAGTTAGTCTTGAACCTGCGTGGTAGGTGACGGAGGTACTTCATGCGGCCAGTTCCAGTGGTCTTTCTGCGGATAGCCTTCACACTCCAGTTATCTAGGAAACCAAAGACAAAACATTCATACAAATTCGTTACAGTTTGCCAAAAACAACCCTCAATTCCAAATTCGCTCAAACAGAAGAATTCCTTAAAAACAAACCCTATGATGCGAAAACAACATGCTTTCTGCGGTTGAAACAGCTCTATATCTCTCATTCTTATAATCAGAGTAAATCGAAAAAATGGTCTTAAAAGCTGGCCAAAGTAAATCAAAATACAAATCCAAAAAATCCCAAAAATGTTAAAAAGATTCAAAGAACATAAAGGCAAGCAACAAGATCATAACAATAAACACCGAAAAGCAATCGAGAAACCAAATCTTGCTTTAAATAATAAAAAAATAACATCTATCTATCAATTCTTGATCTATTAAAAGGGAGCAACTTACATTTTCTGACACGGGCAGCAGGAAAGGCACAAGCACTACAACGGCTTTTCTGGAGATGAAAGCTGCGGCGACCGCATCTCACACAGAGAGTGTGTGTCTTGTTCCTTCTCTTACCAAAACTCCCTGTTCCTTTCCCCTACAAAACAAACACGTCAGAATCATATCATCAAGCAACAAACGCTGTTGTTTACTATTGTTCAGAGGAAGTGAAAGGAGGAGTACCATTTCTTCTTTTTCTCGAGCTGCAAAAACCCTATCACCGGGGACAAAATTTTATGCCGCAGCGATAGTAAGGAATTTATATGGTGAAGATTTAGGGTTTTCTTAAAAGGACTGTTTTGGGCTGGTCATTATGCCGCCTTTAAAGTGAAATGGGCCTTTGATTCTGACTCATCTAATTCAATATTGGGCTTATCTTGTTGCCTTTGATTGCAGTCATAGCTGTCAGAACTGCCCCGAAGGTGCCTGAGGCATTGAATAATTAGGTTAACTTCTAAATCACTAATTAAAATGTATATATTTTTATTTTATATAAAAAAATATTGATATTACCTAATTGATTTTGTGAGATCAATTGAGTTTTTCTTAGATTAACAATTAGAGAGTATTTAAAATAGCAATAAATATTATTTATTTAAAAAATCAAATAACATATATAAAATTATTCTTAACATTAACATATCAAAATAAATTTAAAAAATAAAAAATAAAAAATAAAAAATCTTCAAAAACATGATCAAATTAAACTCAAATTTTTTAAAATAAACTTATAAATATAATCCGATTTCAATGTAATAAATAATTTAGTTCATGCATAAATTCGGTTTAATTTTTTAGTCTCTAGTTTACAGTTTACAAGTTCTAAAGAGAAAAAAAAAGGTTAAAGAAATAGTTGTATTAGCTTTACTTAACTAGCTAATACTTATCGCCTTCTAATTAGTTTTTTATTGGCTATTTGATTTAATTTGTAGTTAAAAAATATGCTTCATTGGCAGGTTAAATCATTTTTTTTTTTGAAAATTTTCAATGTATTAATTCAAATTTCAAATAGAATTTAACTGCTAAAAAATATTCAAAAGTAAATAGACGAGAAAATCTCAAATTTGTTATAATAATATAAAAAAATATATTCGAGAAACACTTTAAAAGCAATATCTACTATCCCCTCGAACACGCGTGAAGTCTCTTTTAATAATCAATGCAAAAGGCCACATTTTCCCCCACCCGCCACTTAATTTCTTCATAATGTTGGAGTTCAAATACGCACAGGGAACCTTGACCTCTGACTTGGTATGATTCTACTTGAATCCATGAGCTCTACCGTGGAAAAAAAGCACTAAAAATAAAACAAAATTTCATCACCCATATTGTGCTTCCATTTTGAATCAATTAGCCCACTTATGCCACAAGCACAGGTTGAGCTGCTGCAATCAGGCCCAGCTCCCAATTGCCTATTCTCCTCCTCTACAAAGCTTAGGAGGCAAGTGGACAATGGCAAAGATGACTTAAGTGTTAGCTAGAGTACATGACCACTTGTGTCGAATTATATGGCAATGCCTCTTTGGCCCATATCGATGCCCCAGTCAATTTTTCTATGTTGAAGCCTAGGAGTGATCATCTCAAAATGTTATTGATATTAATGATTCAAGCTCATTGCCTTGCCAACAAGGAAATCTCTAGAAGTATTCCTCCACCATCTATATTATTTTTTTCAAATAAGTGTTGTTACATGAACCTAAAAAGTGACAATGATATCATTTATGCTGCATGGACCACATAATCAAGTTCTCGAATGATTATCAACTTATAATGGAAGAGGAGGAGTCAGCAACAGCGGGGATAGCTCAGTTGGGAGAGCGTCAGACTGAAGATCTGAAGGTCGCGTGTTCGATCCACGCTCACCGCACTTGACTGCTTTTTTATTTTGTTGAAACAAAATGGGCTTTCCTAATTTTGGTTTCTGGGTGTTCCTGATCTTTCCAAAGCCAAATCCCTTTCAATAATTCCCTTGGAAGAGGTTGGAATTGCGCTCCAAAATGCAATACGCAACAAAATCTCACCCTTGTTGGTTTAGCATCGGCCAAAGGATTGATATCCTTGTCTATTTCATTTGTGATAATGGGAATGTCCTTGTATATTTCTTGAGTGGGAATTTTGATTGCAATCTAGAGTAAATGGACAAGGCAACAAAGGGAGATAGTGAATGAAAAATGGTTTGCTAGAACTAGGAGGAGCATGCATGTACTAGTAGAGAAAAATAGTTGACTTCGATGCCACTAGAAATAGAAAAAGCTAAACCATGCAAAAACATATGCTACTTCTTATGATTCAAGTTTAGAAAAAGAAAAAATAAGTATGTTCTTCTTCTTCTTCTTCTTCTTTTGAAAATGATAGCATCAATCATTCAAAAAACTAGAAAGTATCACTACCCAACACTCACAAAGATTCTAAAAGGAAGGGAAAAAAGAGAAAAAAAAAGTGAGCAAGTGGTTTGGATCTTCTCCTTTCATAGCAGCTGTCGCACATAGCTAGCTAGAGAAATTAAAACCTGTCCATTAACTCGGGCAAACTCAAAACCTACGTATAATAATCCTTGTGTTTTCATCTAGAGAGAAAGTGTACATGATCACGGACCTGCAAAAACACACTTCCACTTTGGAATCTATATACGCGTGAGGATGAGAGACAGAATGCGATCATCAAGTGTGCAACTAAAGAAGAATGGTCGTGGTCTTGCTGCGGTCCCAAAGTTTAGAGAGAAAGGAAGAGATGAGGATGATGGATTATAATGTGGACATTTTCACGTTCACATGAAGGACAGAAGCACTAGTGAGTTAGTGACATGATCTTCGAGCTCATGATCAGCACTGTGTCATTCTCATGTATATGCACGCCTTTGCTTGTCTTGCACCTTTCATACACACATGTCCTAATAAAGATCTAGCTAGCTAGCTCCCATCTACTCAGGAGTTTTGTGAGCCTTGGAGACTTCAAGCTTGCTGCTCGCTACTTGCTAATCCCTGTAGCATGGGGCCGGTCTGAAAAAGTGAGCTTCATGCAGTAGATGAATCGATTGGGATCGATCCGTGTGTTATCTACAGCCGTTGGTTGGTTGTTGGGTAGGAAAAGATTCAACAGAATATAGAGAATATGAATATATATATATATATATATAGAGAGAGAGAGAGAGATAGAGAACAATAAGAACCAGTCATAAATTGTAGATAAGAATTTATTATGACAATACTGGTCTA